TATTTTTTTCAAAGACTCCATTTTCTAGGTTTTTGAAAATTTAACATAAACCTTACCCAATCCCATGAGCCTCAACAACTGGCCTGGAAAATATGCCTACTTATGCAATAGTGGCATGAATATTATCAGAGTAATGAACTACTTTCTAATTGGATTTAAGGTCCTCTTCATAGGATGGAGCCCATACCTAATACTGTTATCAGTCCGAGGAGCCTGAGATTAGACAGCCCACAGACAATGCTAGAAAGCCTAACACAACTATTCTGTTAAATAGATATAACAGTAAACTGATTTTTTAATGATTCCCTGTTATAACCATAGAGTAATGGGTCACTCAGCAGAGAAGACTGTTTATACAGTAGTGATTAACACAGAGAACCTCAACTAGCCAATGTGTAGAGAATAAGAGGCTGCAGAGCACTTATCCCTGAATGAGACACCTATATTAAACTTCTGCCTCCCAAAGCTCAGGGAGGAAGAGTAGGTCGAAAAACTGTAAGAGCCAGAGGTAGTGGATGACCACAAGAAAAGAGTTTTCCACACACTCATATGAACTCACAGCAATGGTGACAGCATGCAGAAGTCCCACATAAACTCAAGACAGATGAAAATACCAATATAGACTGGGGGAAATGGGTAAGAAATCTGAACTCTGTCTGAGGACCTACTGGCAACTGATGACTGCTGGGAAAGGGAGATTCCGTCTGATTTAAAGTCAGGCTTTTAGGTTGACCAGCCTCCAGTGGGTGAACCTACACTGAAGGGCATTTGGGGAAACAAACCTGACTCTATTGGCCTTTACACACACACACTCACACATATACATGGGAATATTGGTGGGGGTTTAGAAAGGTGGGTGCAGATATGGGAGGGGATATGAGTATGATCAAAATAAACTGTATGAAATTCTTCAACAACAAAACTGAGCATGGATATGCATGCGTGTAACCCAAGCTTCTAGAATAGTGAAATAAATTTCTTAAAAAGACAAAAAAAAAAAAAAAAAAAAGGAAAAAAAGGACTATTTCCCAAGTTTTTGTTAACGTGGAAGACTTTAAAATTTAAATTTTTATTATGAGTGTTTTCCCTGCATATATGTGAGTGCACCACATGTATTCAGTGCCTGCAGAGGTCACAAAAGGGTGTTGGAGCCCCTGGAGCTAGAGTTACAGATGGTTGTTAGCTGCCATGTGGATACTGAGAACTGAACTTAGGTCCTCTGCAAGAGCAGCCAGTGCTCATTTTATGTGCTTTCAGCAATATCAACAAAATCATAGTGGGTATTTAGGTAGGCCAGAGGTGGAAAACTGTCATTTGCCATTTAAAACTTTGACCTAAGGTAACATTTTTGAGAGGTCAGGGACATTTCCTTTCACTATAGTCCAAAGAGCATCTTTCTGTCAGGCTACATTCTCCTGCAGTTTCAATTGGTTAGCATAGTTTCTATTTTCTATTCAAAAACTGCTGAAGAAGCATGTTGGATGTGCATTTCAGAAACTGGTAGTGGCAGTCATCAATTTGGCAAATGATGTGCAACAAAAGCTACTGGGGGAGTTATGTCCATGCAAATAAGTGATCTCCAAATGGTGCACTACAAATCACTTTTCTTTTTTGAGGCAAGGTCTTACTATGTAACTCAGGTAGACCTGGAACTCATTATACACCTAAGGCTGCTCTGGAACTCGGCATCCTCCTATCTCTACCCCTTTAGTGCTGGGATTACAAGTTATGCCACAGTGCTCAGTGAAATGATTTTTGTAAAATACATAAATGGCCACTGGTAACTGAAAACACAGGCATTAACACATTAATTATAAAACAAGAACCATATTTAAAAAATTTTTTTTATTACATATTACTTCCCATATTTGTGAGCATACATATACCCAACACAGAGCCCTCTACATTAGCAAGTCGTGGAGAACAGGCCTGTATTCACAGGACTCAGGAGGTTGAGGCAGGGGTATGGTCAGTTTAAAGTCACCCTCTGCTACATAGTCAGACACTGTCTCATTTAAAAAAAAAAATTAAACTAAGTAAAAGTAAGTCCTACATTTTTAATTTTGTAGGAGAAACCTTTAACTTATATGAGGTAAAACAGCATGTATGATAGCTTTGATCCAGGGCAGACACGAAATGTAGAAAGGGCATTTCTATTTGTAAGTGACACTTTTCTTTTGAGACAGGGTCTCATTATATAGCCCTGGCTGACCAGGAACCCCAGGAACTCACTACCTATACCAGGCTGGCTTCAATCACAGAGATCCATCTGCCTCTGCCTCCTGAGAGCTGAGATTAAAGGCCTGTACCATCATTCCCAGCCAAAGTTTCACTCTTAAAATAACTTTTGTGTCTGCCGGATTGTGTGTGCACACCTGCAGATCCCAATGGAGGATGTCAAATCCCGTGAAACTGGAGTTACAGAACTTGTAAACTGCCAACGTGCACACTGGGAACCTGGGTCCTCTAGAAGAACAATTGCTCTTAACCGTTAAGTCATCTCTTTAGCCTCAGACTCTTAGGTTTTGAAGGATGGATGGAATGAGGGGATCCACAAAGAAAATAAAAGGTAGCATGGACAGACAACCAGAGGTCTATGAAAACTCTGCTTGTTTTAATAACCCCTTGAAATGAGACTGGCGATTTCCTGAATCAGAGGGTCTACATTGTAATCATTGTCTACCCCCAAAACACAAATTAGAAAACAGAAACAAAAAACTCAAAATGACTTTTTTCGCTTAAAAAAATTTAATTCCTAGGTGTGCTCTCTCTATTTTTGAGACAGGAGCTCACTATGTAGCACTGGCTGGTCTAGAACTTGCAATGTATGTAGATCAGGATGGCCTCGAACTCAGAGATCCACCTGTTTCAGCCTCGAACGTGCTGGGATCAAAGGTGTGCAGACCATGCCCAGCCCAGAGGTACATTCTCGATTAGTAATCCATGTTTAGGGAGAAGGTTTTGTCCTGTAAAGCCTGGGAGGCAGCTAACAGTAAATTGCCTTGGAGCAAACCTAATGTAATGTTTCCAGAGAACTATGTTCACATCTACAAAATGTATTAAAAAAAAAAACAAACATGAAATTTCAGTTGCCCTTTTCGTTTTTCTAAAGTCCCAAAGGGCATTCTTCCTTGAGTTCCCTAGTGTTCCACCAAGATCAGACCTCGGTTTTTAAACCTAGCCCACAGCTAGGAAAGAAAATGCACTTGGGTGGCTGGGCTCTAAGCTCCACCTGTTGAGGTCAGCTCCCTCCCTCCCTCCCTCCAGGTAAGAAAAGCCTGGGTGGACCACTCCCACTTTCTAGAGCCTTCCCAAAGGGGCTAGGGCGGTTCCGGGCAAACTGCCACACCGACTACTGGAGGCCTAGCCCCTGCCCCTTGAGGGGCGAGGGACCGCATGGCAGCCTCCATCGCACAAAAGGCGCCTCTAGCGCGGGGACCTTGGGCTCAGCAGCACCGATGCATCCAGCGAAAAGATGGAGAAGGCATGGGTCCGGGCGAGCCCAGGTGGAGGAGGAGGAGGAGGAAGAGGAGGGTTCGCCACGCACGGCGTTAGAAAGCCTGACTCATGTCGTGGTGGCGGCGGGCTCCCGGGAGCTGCAACTCGTGATGCTGTTGCCGAGGAGAAAAGCCTCGGGCAGGGGAACACCGCCCGGGGCGCACACGCCCGAGCCCCCGCCACACCTAACCTGCTCACGCGGCATGGCCCCGCGCCCGCCCCCACCGGGCAGACGCTCCAAGCGACTCGGATTCGCTCGCGAGCCTCAGGGCCCCACCCCCACCGCCCTCGGGCGTCGGCGGCGTCTCCGCTAGCCTTCGTTAATTTCCGTGGATAGCGCGCGAGAGCCGGGCGCTTTGCGAGCTCCGAAGACAAGCCGTCGCTTTTCCAGTCAGACCTGGCTTTATGTCTGCGGCGCCCGGGCGCCTGCGCAGACGCCATCTTCCCGGGTCTCCTCCGCGGCCCCTCCCCCCGCCTCCTCCGCCTCCTCCTCCTCCTCCTCAGTCGGCGCTCGCCCCTCCTCCTCCCCTTGCGCTGGGGCGCTGGTCCCTCCTCTCCCGATGCCGCGAGAGACAGAGGGATACGGTGGAGCCCGAGAGGAGCACTAGTAACAAACCACCACAGCCCCCTCCGCGCCCGACACCCTCCCACTCCCCCGCCCAGTGCGCGGCCACCGACCAACCCCACCTCTCGTTTCTTTGAACGGCGTCGGCTGCAGTCGCTGCCGCAGCCCCGTCTGGCCACCAACGCCGAGGAGAAAGGAGCTGCCGCCGCCGCCGCCGCCCGCGGCCCCCTCCCTCCCTCCCGGAGCGGACCAGAGCGAGCCGGCGGACTGAGGAAGAGGACGCGAGGCTCGCCCCACCACACCCGGGCACGTCCCGCCGCCCTCCGGGGCATCTCGGGCCGCCGGCGCCCTGCCTTCCCTCAGGGACGAGTGCCGAGCCGAGCGCCTGCCCCGAGGGAGGAAAATGCTCCGGCTCCATGGCTGCCAGTGATGGAGCGGTCCCTGGGCTCCCGCTGCCACCGCCGCCGCCGCCGCCGCGCCCCGGCCGTGCTCCGCGAGGACCCGGCGTCGC